TTCTCACATATGGGGCTGCGATACCCTTTTTCTTTTTCTTTTTTCTGTTGCTCTACATTAAACAAAGGCAGCTGCAGCCTTAAAAAGAACCCTAGCCACCTCATGGCTTTTCAAATGGGCCAAATAAAAAAACCCCTTATATGGGCAGTTGGGCCTACAAACAAAGGCCCACAATAATTTGGCCATAATTCAACAATCTTCACCTTGGCCAAATTCCCAAAAGCACAATGACGAGCCAAACCAACATAACCAACAATCAACACAAAACCACTCCCGAAAGTAGTAAGAGAATAACTCATGCCGAGCCAAAATGCTCAAAAACTCCTACTGCTTAACACCTTCTTCAGATAGGCAAAATGTAAGCCAAGTTCAAGTAATGAACAAACTTGGCTACACCAACAACCTTCGTCAACATATCAGCGGGGTTGCCTTTAGTTGGAATTTTCTGGAGAATAATCTCTCTTTCACCAACAACTTCACGAACAAAGTGATAAAGCACAACTATGTGCTTGGTTCTCACATGATAAACTTGATACTTAGCCAAATAAATGGCAATCTGACTATCACAATGCACCTCCACCTGCTTCTAATCAACCCCCAAATCTCTAATAAATCCATATATCCAGATGGCCTCCTTTATAGCTTCAGTAACTGCCATATATTCAACCTCTATAGTAAACAAGGCAACATATGACTGCAAAATTGACCTCTAACAAACTGGCCCTTTAGCCATAGTAAATACATAGTTTGTAGTAGACTTCCTTCTATCCAAGTCACCTGCATAATCGGAATCAACATAACCAACTGCAAAGTTGCCAATACCAGAGTCATCGCCCTCGAAGCATAAACCAACATCTCGATGACCACATAGATACCTCAATATCCACATAGCTGCATGTCAATGCTCTTTACCAGGATTATGCATATATCGATTCACCATACCAACTGCATAAGCAATATCCTGTCTAGAGCATACTATTGCATACATCAAACTACCAACCAAATTTGCATATGGTATATTTTTCATTTGCAGCTTCTCTTTATCAGTTTTAGGACATTGTAGATAACTCAATTTAAAATGAGGAGCCAAATGGATACTAATCAGTTTGGTTGAATCATGAACTCCAAATTTCCGAATCAACTTCTCAAGTTATTGTCTTTGATTCAAGCACACATCTCTATTGATCTTTATTCCAATGATCTTCTTCGCTTCACCTAGATATTTCATCTCGAACTCATTCTTCATTTGCTTCTTCAATCTCTCAATCTCTTCGACATTCTTTGAGGCAATCAACATCTCATCAACATATATCAACAAATAAACGAAAAACTCGTCTTGCAACTTCTTCAAGTACACACAATGATTATATTGACTTCTAGAATAATTTTGGCCTCTCATAAATCTATCAAACCTCAAATACCATTGTCTTGGAGATTGCTTCAAGCCACAAAGTGATTTCTTCAACTTGCAAAACAAATTCTCCTTCATTTTCACTTTGTACCCATCCGGTTGACACATATAGGTCTCTTCATTCAAATCACCATGTAGAAAAATCGTATTCACATCAAGTTGCATAAGCTCAAGATCATATTGTGCAACAAGAGCTAACATAATGCGAATTGATGAATGATTCACAACCGAAGAAAAGATTTCATTGTAGTCAATGCCCTTCCTTTGTGCATACCCTTTAGCAACTAATCTTGCTTTAAATCTCACATTTATTTTCTCATCAACGTATTCCTTCTTGGCATACACCCATTTGCAACCAATAGTTTTCTTACCCTTAGGAAATTTAGCTAACTTCTAAGTCTTGTTCTTCAAGAGAGAATTCATCTCGTCATCCATGACATTGCACCACTTCTCCTTTTCTTCATTCTCAATGGCTTCCTTAAAATTAGATGGAATCTCATCAGTGATAATAGGAAGAGCAAAAGCAACATAATCACTATACCGAGCTGGCTTGGTAATATGTCTCTTTCCTTTGTTCTTGGCAATAGACTCTTGAGGTGAAACTTGTTCTTCATCTTGAAAATAGTCTTCAACTTTAACTTCTTCAACATCTTCATGGTCTCCCACTTATTCACTTGTAGTGGCTTTAACATCAGCGGAAATCGGATTTGAAGTACTAAAGGGAACTTTCTCAGGCTCTACCTGTTGAACATCTTTCACATTCTTCTCATAGTCTTTGAACATACTTTCTTCATCAAATGTCATATCTCTACTGATCACAAGTTTCTTGATCTTTGGGCACCACAACCTATAACTTTTGACACCACTACTAAAACCAAGAAAGATAGCATTTTTGGCTCTAGGATCAAGTTTATTTTCAGTTACATGAAAATAAGCAAGTGAATCAAAAATATGAATATAGTCATAATCAGAAGAAGGTTTTCTAGTCTATACCTCAATTGGTGTCTTACCTTGAATAACAACTAAGGGTAATCAGTTGATGATGTGACATGTATAAGTAACTGCCTCTGCCCAAAATGATTTGCTCAAGCCCAACTGAGATAACATATATCCAACCTTCTTAAGCAAGGTTCAATTCAATCTTTCTGCAACTCCATTTTGTTGTGGAGTTCCCCTGACACTGAAATGCCTCACAATCCATTCCTCTTTGTAAACTTTAAGGAAAGGGTCCAATGTGTATTCTCCACCATTATCCGATCTCAAAATTTTAATATTTTAATTTTCCTCCCAGTCTAGTTCTCAACCATTTTCTTCTAACCGAAAAAAATGCTCAATACCTCACTCTTATGCTTCATAGTATAGACCCATGACCTTCTAGAATAATCATCAACAAAGGTCACGAACCAATGTCTACCACTCAAAGAGGGAGTCTTTATAGGACCCCAAACATCCGAATACATATGTTGATGCACAAAATCGAAGGTCTTGGAACAACGTAAATCCAACCATGAATATGCATGAAATGTAAATAACACAAGATATATCGTGGTTCAACCCAAGGTTTGGGCTACGTCCACACTGATTATTGTATTTATCTATGAGCTGAGGGATAGAATGTGAGAGCCTCTGTAATGAGAGTGAAGCTCTGAAAAGGGGTGAGAGGGCCTAGGGATTGGCCTTCCTCAATTGTGAGGGTGAGGAATCCTTTTATAGATTAATGGCTCTTCACTTATTACATATTTGCCCTTTCCTTTATTACATAATTACATTTAAGTCCCCCGAGTATTTGTACGAGATCTAAATACGAAGGCCCTAAATATGTTATAAATAGTAGTCCTCCAAGTCTTCAGTCAAGAGAGTCTTTTGGCTGGAGACTTGAAATTCAGTCCATGTGTGGGCCGAAGTAACTAGATATTGTCTTAAACTGATGTTCGATATGAGGCAGTGATCAATCTGAAATGATGCTCAACTAGAAGTAGCACATGCTGCGAGGCTGGTCGGCTCATGGCTTATGTTGCCTTAGTTGGCTCGGCTTGTGGCGTTTGAAGGTGAGGGAGTCCCTTTTATAGAATAAGGGCTCGCTCTTCAATACATGAATGATGGGCTAAAGTTGATGCTCTCTAATGATGGTAAGGGAGTCCCTTTTATAAAATAAGGGCTCGCTCCTCAATACATAAGTGATGGGCTAAGTCCCCCAAGTATTTTGTATTTTTCATGAGGCCTAGTTGAGGCCCAATATATGGTACATAATGTAGTCCCCCAATTCTTCGATCAATAGAGTCTGTTGACTGGAGACTTCAAATTGAATCCATGTATGGGCCGAAGTGGCGATTGTTCGGAGGTGGTATTTGTATACCCTGCACTGAAGCTTTGTAGGTGAAGCTTTGCAATTGAAGTTTTGAAGCTAGAGCTCTGTAAATGAAGCTTTTGAAGCTAGAGCTTTTTGTAAATGAAGCTTTTGAAGCTAGAGCTCTGTAAATGAAGCTTTTGAAGCTAGAGCTTTTATAAGTAAAGCTTTTGAAGCTGGAACTTTGTAAATGAAGCTTTTGAAGCTAGAGCTTTTGTAAAAATGCTTTTGAAGCTAGAGCTCTATAAATGAAGCTTTCAAAGCTAGAGCTTTTGTAAATAAAGCTTTTGAAGCTGTAGCTCTGTAAATGAAGCTTTTGAAGCTAGAGCTTTTGTAAATGAAGCTTTTAAAGCTGTAACTCTGTAAATGAAGCTTTTGACGCTAGAGCTTTTGTAAATGAAGCTTTTGAAGCTAGAGCTTTGTAGATGAAGCTTTTGAAGCTAGAGCTTTGTAAATGAAGCTTTCGAAGCTAGAGCTTTTGTAAATGAAGCTTTTGAAGCTGTAGCTCTGTAAATGAAGCCTTCGAAGCTAAAGCTTTTATAAATGAAGTTTTTGAAGCTGTAGCTCTGTAAATGAAGTTTTTGACGCTAAAGCTTTTGTAAATGAAGCTTTTGAAGCTAGAGCTCTGTAAATGAAGCTTTTGAAGCTATAGCTTTTGTAAATGAAGCTTTTAAAGCTAATTGTCATGAGTGATGCTCATGAATGTTGACATGAGTGATGCTCATGAATGTTGACATGAATGATGCTCATGAATGTTTATGTATGATTGATATGAGTGATGCTCATGAATGTTTATGTATGATTGACATGAATAGTGCTCATGTATGTTTATGTATGATTAACATGACTAGTGCTCATGTATAATTTTGAAGTACTGGACGTACTTTTGATCACCTGGTTGGTGGTAATAGCGGCAGGTTGCCGAATAATTTTGGAATACTGGGCGTACTTTTGATCACCTGGTTGGTGGTAATAACGACAAGTTGCCAAATAATTGTGGAGTACTGGGCGTACTTTTGATCACCTGGTTGGTGGTAATAGCGGCAGGTTGTCAAATAATTGTGGAGTACTGGGTGTACTTTTGATCGCCTGGTTGGAGCTATTTTGGGCTTATGGGCCTTCGCCCTCTACACAACATTCCAGCCCATTTATTTTAGGCTTTGCCCTTTTTTAATTATTATTATTATTATTACCCTCTGATGGGGTTTATACAGATGCCTCCGAAAGATAAGAAAAATAAATTACATCATACAAAAACCAGAAAAATAAATTACATCATTCTGGTGGGGTGTTTATTCCTTGCTTTTGCTTTCTATTTTGCTTTCTGCTTTTGCTTTTCTTTTGTTTTTTTTTTCAGAAAAGAGGAACATGCATGATTCAGAAGTTGGTGGTCGACAGTTGGTTTTCAGAAAATGGGCAGGTTTATGATGAAGAATCTTATCTTGTCTCTTTGCCCATGTTGTCCATGACCCAATCACCTTTGCCCATGTTGTCCATGAACCAATCACTGCTGGCCTTGACCCTAGCCCTGGTCGACTCAGAGAGCATCCATTGCACTTGCAGATAGAGGGAACCTTGTGCTTGGAGAGCAAATTGTACTCAAGCAAGATCTTCTAAGGTTGAGGGTTCTTTCTCTTTAGTTGTTCTCTGTGCTCCACCAGGTCCATCTTCACTCTCTTTATTCTTATAATCATTAGGTCGCAGTTCAGGACCAACATCCCGCACCCAGCTGGCGGCATAAAGCATAGAAGCCTCATGTAACTTCGGAATGTACCTCGCTCAAACTCAATAGGGTTTTCACACCTGAAATTTTGAAAAAATATGGGTGTCCAGAGAAAACCAAAGTAAGAACGAAGCAGACGAGGCTGGTGATGGGTGCCATAAGTAAATTTGATTAACTTGTTGGTAACTTTTGTAGTTGAAGTTTGAAGAAATGGCGGTGGGCGCGCCGTCACTGCTGAGAAGATCGCAGCCTTGGTGAAATCTGTTAATGTGTTGGTGGAGTCATACTGGCCGGGCCTCTTTGCCAAGCTTGTGACGGAGCGTGATCTTCGTTGTCTCCAATACAGAACCCGCGGTCTCCAACTCAAAACCTTGAATGGAATCAACTAAATAAAGCTGTCTCCGGTGTCGCCCTGCATCATTGGATCGTGATCTTCGTTGTCTTCGGATTCCAAGTCGACTGAGTCGTGAACTCGGTCGTGGTTAGGTGGACTGAGTCGGGATTCCAGGTGGACTGGGTCGGGATTCCAGGTGGACTGGGTCGGGATTCCAGGTGGACTGAGCCGGTGGAAGATGGCGGGAAAGGTCGACCGGAAGCAGAGAGTTGGAAGAGAGCACAGGAGGAAGAAAACAGTGGATGGAGTCAAACGAGTTAACTCCCAAGATAGTAGAAGAGGCTACGACAACCACGTGATGGTTGTAGGCGTCAACGAGATGGGGTTGACCATTAGTTGATGATGGTTCAATTTCGATGGGCAGCGGTGGTGCCATTACAGCTTACAAGGCTAATTAGAAAAGGAGTTGAATAACAGTAGCAGTACTGATGGAATAATGGAGCTAGCTAGGGTTGGATTTTTAGATCTGGGTCCTTATCTCCCCTAAATATTCGGGTCCTCCCCTGCCATTCTGTAGGTGTTTGATTTCTTGGATTTTGCAGATACACGGCGGAGGTAAAAAATTAAAGAGAACCGACATAGTTTTTTGTGTTGATTCCCACAGACGGCGCCAAATGTTTATGCACAAAACCGGAGGTCTTGGAACAACGTAAATCCGACCGTGAATCTGCATGAAATGTAAATAACACAAGATGTATCGTGGTTCGCCCCAAGGTTTAGGCTACGTCCACACTGATTATTGTATTTATCTGAGAGATGAGGGAGAGAATGTGAGAGCCTCTGTAATGAGAATGAGGCTCTGAGAGAGGGCGAGAGGGCCTAGGGATTGGCCTCCCTCAATTGTGAGGGTGAGGAGTCCTTTTATAGACTAATGGCTCCTCACTTATTACATATTTGCCCCTTCCTTTATTACATAATTACATTTAAGTCCCCCGAGTATTTGTACGAGATCTAAATACGGATGCCCTAAATATGGTATAAACAACATATAATCAAGAATGCCCTTCATCTGATATACTGCAATACCAAACTACACTTTAGTTTGCTTCTCCAAGACATAATGTTCGTAGAAATTAAGCTTACAAGTCGTGACACTTTTTAGAAGACTTTGTTTCACAAGCCCTTGTAAAGCTCTCTCTCTGGCATGGCCTAATCTCATATGCACATTCTAGTAGTATCTGAATAAGATGTGCCTATATTTTTTGAGACTACAGACGCTTCACCTATCACAGTGCTTCCTTGCAATAAATACAAATGACCACATCGAGGAGCTTTCATCACAACAAATGCACCATAAGTAACTCTCAATGCCTGCCAATCTGAATGAAACTTGAAGCCCTTGGATTCTAAAGTGCCCAAATAAATAAGATTTTTCTTCAAATTCGGTACATACCGAACACCTGTCAACTCTTTAATCATATCATCATGCAACTTCAAATGAACTGTACCAATCCCTTTTATTGTAGAAGAATTGTCATCTCCCATGAAAAAAGACACCACCATCAAACTCTTTCAAGCTTGAAAACCAATCCTTGTGAGGAGTCATATGATGAGTACAACCTATATCCAACACCTACTTAGTAGCACAATCAAATTATGATGAAGCGGTTAAAGCAAAATCAAAAAAATCAGTTTCAAGCTCAGCACCATTAGCTTCAGAACTCACTTTGCCTTTGGTCTTCAACCTAGGACAATCTTTCTGCCAATAGCCCTTATTATGACAAAAAGCACATTCATCCATTTCCAAGCTTTTTCTACCTTTAGAATTTCCTCTAGGTCGAGACTGTGATTTTTTCTTACTAAAGAAAAATCACTTCTCTGATGATCTACCTCTAACAAATAAAGCTTCGAAGGTACTATCATGATTCTTATCTCTATGCCTCATTTCATAATTCATCAAGGCATTTGATACATCTTCAAATTCACAGTTTCTTTACCATGCATAATAGTGATAACAAAATGCTCATAAGAAGGAATTCAACAATATTAAAGCCTTATTTTCATCCTTAATATCCTCATCCAAATTCATCAAATCGACAATTAACTTATTAAAAGCATCAAGGTGTCTAATCATTTTTGTACCTTTTTTATATTGGAAGCGGTAAAGCTTTTTCTTCAAGTGTAGCTGATTCTTTGCACTCTTCGTCAAGTACTTGTCTTCTAATTTTTGCCACAACACATTTGCTAATGTCTCCTGCATCACAAAATACTTCTGAGTTTTTGCAAGACACAACCAAATTGTGAAGCAAGCACATAAATTTAATTTCTCCCATTCCAACTCTGACATAGCTTCCGGCTTATCTCCCAAAGCGGCAAGTAGATCTTGTTGAGCCAACACATCCTTGATCTTACATTGCCACATCCCAAAGTTGTTTGTGCCATCGAATTTTTCCACTTCAAACTTTGCATTTTGCATCGTAGTTCTCGCAAACCCTGAGTTGCTTCCAAAAGGATTTTCATTTTGCCCGTCTAATATCTTTAGCTACTAGATGGTACCCAACAGCAACCAATGCTCTGATACCAATTGTTGTGATAGGATAGCACCAAACCATTTCGAATCAACTCAAGCTAACCCACAAGAAATATATCAAATGAAATGCAAAAACAAAAATAGAAAAAGACACCAAGATTTTAACGAAGTTCCTCAACAGTCAGTGTAACTGTTGTACGTCCTCGGAGCAATAGGAATTCACCTAATGATCCACTATCAACCAAATGGGAGTGTTTACAAAGTGTTTGGCAATTTCACAACCCAAAATCCCAATACCACTCAATAGCTCTCCTTCACCAAAGAAACAAATAGAGAAGAAAATAAAGTAAATAATTTCCACTTTATACAAAGCTCAAAAAAAGATATTATCACTTTGTACAGTCACCAATTGTACACGACATAACACGTCACCAATTGCTTTTGTTCTCTTTGTAAAGTTTGTGGTGTATTAATACTACAACTACCTTCAACAACAAAGGTTTGGTAGCATCCCATCGTATTTTTATGGTTTAGATTAACACGACATAACACGTCACGACTTTCTAATCGATTTTTTATTATGATAGTACAACATGTTAGATTATTTGGATGGTATATTCAAATAATATTCTAACTAGTAAGTGGTCTACATCAATAGTTTGACAATATAATGTATTGACTATATGCTAAACACCATTATGATAATGCAACATGTTAGATTAATAGTATGAGCGGAAAGAAGATTTTTTTTTTTTTAAAGAATTGTTATTAATTGTTACACATCATATGTATCGGCTATATATTAATCTACTTATTTTCTATTGGTGACACATCATATAGTTTGCAAGTCTCGTCTAAAAAATTTGTCTACTTAACATTAGTCGCTTGTAAAACAACAAGAGAAAAAATAGACATAAAAAAATATATGATGACAATTTTGAAATGTCAATATCAGCTTTGATTACGATAATTTTCAGGACATAAATGTGAAAATTAAAAAAATGGTAAATTACATTTTATCACCTCAGGTTTGGGGTCTATTACAACCACATACAACATCTTCAAAACATTTCACTTTCATACCTCACCTACTATTTTATTTCAATATAGTACCTCGTTACATTTTTCATTCATTGATCCGTTAAGAGCTAACATGGTTGCCGAATTTGTGCCCCGTGGCAAAAAAAATTATTCATTTAAAATATTATAATAATTTACCTTATTTATTATTATTATTATAAAATAAAATAAAATAAACCCCAACCCAGAACCTATCTTCCCCCGACCCACCTCCTTCTTCTCCACCATCTTCACCTCCCTTGTAAAGAAATATGGACCGCTGAGGTTTTGAAGTGTTACGGCAAGAAAGGTTCTATGCTGGAATTCTTGATTGTTCTATCAGTCATGGTATTCATTTATATATATAGTTACAAGCGTGGACCACACAGTCCCATTTACAGAAAGTATATAAATACAATCAAACTAATTGAGTGATTACATGGAAAGTAAATCAGCAATTACAAGGGAAGGAAATCAGCTAGATTCTTGTGAGGGTGGACTTTCTTGTGTTTGCCTAATTTCAGGAGATGACTGAGATAATGGCTTCGTCAGAGGCATATGTTTCTCATCACCCCCCCCCCAAGCGAGACAAAACATAGTGGAGTTTGAGCTTGGGAACTAAAGAATGAAAGCGTTCACGAGTGAGTCCCTTAGTAAAGATATCGGCAAGCTGATGGGCAGATGGGACGTAGCGAGTGCGGAGGACACCAAAGTTGAGCAGCTCCCTAACAAAGTGATAGTCAATTTCGATGTGTCTAGTCCTTGCATGAAAGATAGGGTTCGCAGCAATATGAAGAGCAGACATGTTGTCAACAAAAATGCAAGGAGGTACACGCAAGGCGATGCCAATTTCACGAAATAAGTAGCAGAACCAACGAATTTCAGCTGCCGTAGTAGCAAGGGCACGATATTCAGCCTCCGTGCTAGATCTTGAGACAGTAGATTGCTTTTTGGCAGTCCATGTAAGAAGATTAGGTCCAAGAAAGATACACGCACCAGTGGTAGAGCGACGATCATCAACACTCCCAGCCCAATCGGAGTCCAAGAAACCATAAAGGTTGAAATGAGGTGCCTTGTGAAAAAGAAGACCATGAGAAAGAGTACCTTTAACATAACGGAGAATACGTTTTGCACTTTGTAGATGTGTCGTTCGTGGAGCATGCATAAATTGACACACTTGGTTGACTGCATAAGCTATGTCAGGTCGAGAAAGTGTAAGATATTGCAAGCCACCAACAATGCTCCGATAAGTAGACGGATCAATTAAAGGGTCACCATCTAAGGAAGATAGTCGCGTAGAGGAACTCAAGGGTGTGGGACTCGGTTTGCATGACTCCATATGGAACTTCTTGAGAAGATCAAGTGCATATCGCGTTTGACAAAGAGAAATCGTAGTAGAGGTACGATTAATCTCTAGTCCAAGGAAGAAACTAAGATCACCCATCCGGCGACTATCGAACTTGGAGCACAACACATCAATAAAGGAAGAGATTTCCGTGGCATTATAGCCTGTGATAATGATATCGTCGACATAAATAAGCACAAAAATAGAGGATTGGGAACCATGACGAATAAATAATGAGGCATCAGAGTGACTATGGAAAAATCCCTGGGTGAGTAAAAATGAAGTGAGTCGCTGAAACCAAGCACGAGGGGCTTGTTTAAGGCCATAAAGCTTTATGGAGTTTGCACACATATTTGGGACAACTAGGATCAACAAACCTGGGTGGTTGCTTCATATAGACTTCCTCATGTAGTATGCCATTGAGAAAAGCATTATGAACATCCAACTGTTGGAGTGTCCAACTAAATGAGACGGCTAAAGAGAGTATTGTGCGAATAGTTGCAGGTTTGACAACGGGACTAAACGTTTCGTCGTAGTCCAAACCTTCTTGTTGATTAAACCCCTTGGCAACTAACCGTGCTTTATGCCTTTCGATAGAACCATCCGCTTTCCTTTTCACTTTGAAGACCCACTTACACCCAATGACATTCATAGATGGTGAATAGGGCACGAG